AACACAGGGAGTGTCACAGAGGCCTTATGGCTGGCAGAGACTAAAATGTTTACTGTCTGGCCCTTTAGAGATGAAAGTTTGCCAACCCCTGCCCCAGAATGGAAAATTGGATTCCACATATTAAAATGAAAAAGTGCGATCTACCTGGCAAAAAACTTTTAACCTTTGTTTAGCCCTCTGCTCTTCTCCCAATCTTTTTATTTATTTGTGGCAATTATGCATGCCCAAAAGAAAAGAAATGTACTACAATCCGTAAGTAAGCTGTGAAGAATACAGGGGAAAAATTCAACAGCTGAGTTGCTCTCATGCATAACCTACCTATGTGAGGCTGACCTGGGTCTCTGCCCCCGCCCACCCCTGGGAAGGGCAGTTACAGTGCAGGGTTAAGCACAGCCAACCTGGTACATTCTACCTGGACTTGGATCCTGGCTCTGCTCCTTACAGTTCCTAATCAGGTAGGTGGCCTTGCTCTGTCTCCCTATGGCTCCACTTTCCTGTGGGTAAAATAGGGAGGGTGACAAAAATAATATTTTACCTCCAAGGGTCCCTGAGAATATTAAATGAGATGGTGCATGTAATGCCCTTGGAAGACTGCTTAGCGCACAGTAGTAGTGCCTAATAAATGTTAACTGCTACTTTCACTCTTTGGTGAGGATCACTGAGCCAGGACTGAGTCGATCTCATAAGAGCCACCCAGGGGCCGGGGATTTAGCTTGCCTGCTGTGCAACCGCAAGGACCCGAGTTCAATCCCCACTACCCCCCCCACAAAAAAAACAAAAACAGAAAACACGTACATTAATAAAAATTAAAAGAAGAAAAAAACCTTATTTCAGGCCAGGGATTTAGCTCAGTGGTTTCACCACCTGCTGTGCAAGCACAAGGACCTGAGTACAAAAAAAAAAGAGCCACCCAAACCTAGGCATTCTAGAAAACAAAGTCTGTTCCCCAGGCCTCTATGTCCTCTATTCTCCATAAAGGAGAAAATATCAGCTCCCCGAAGACCAGGCGCCCAAGGCTGGTGGCTAAGCTTTCTGCAGACCCAGAAGTTACATAATGAGGGGAAGGAAGAGGTGGAGCATTTAGATTACTCTTTGCACAATTTCTTCTCTCAGTTGCCATTTAGCTCCTTATCTCTTGGTAAGATTGTAAATGTTTCAGAAAATAGTTTATACTAAATATGTTCCTTCCTAAATCTCATAAACAGTTATTCTTCCTACATAAACTCTAACCACTTACACCCACGGTAAGGTTCCAATTAGCCACCCACACATCAGCAGAGGGGAAAAATGTGTTCTGCATAGACACACACGTGTACACACATAGGCACACACGCCCAGCCAACCCAACCCTCCTCTGTGGCCATGCTCCGTGAAAGGGGGCATGTTCAGGGCCAGCAGAGGAGGATGCTTGCTAATCAGTAGGTCCCCAAGGAGCCAGTTAACTCTTCGGAGGTCACTGCTGCTCCCAAATAGCTCCTAAGCCATTTTGTGCTTTATTCTTCAATGGCCAGGCCACTGTTGTCCTCAAACTGCAGTTGGAGCTGAGGCTGGGCTCCTGAGTTTGGGCCGGGGTCCAGATGCCAGCCCTCCACACACACGCCAAGGAGTACACTGCTGCCCCTAACTGCAGAGCAACTGTGGGACCCACAGGAGCCACGAGAGGCAGCCCAGCATAGGGTAAACCCTGAAGCCAGACTGCCTGAGTTCAAATCTTGGCAGCTCTGAGAACTTAGTGAAGGTCCTGGACACCTTGGTGCCTTCATCTGCTTGCATAAAGGAGCATGAAGGGGGCGGCCCCATGTCTGCTCTGGGTTCTGAGGGCTGGATGAGCTGACACTGGCAGAGTGCTCACAACTGACCGAAGGGAGTGTTCCCGGTGCAGGACACTTGTTAGGTGGATGAGAAGCCACCTCCTCCTCCGCCCCTCCTCCCTGTGAGGATTACTGCACAATTGGGTGGGGGATTACAGGCTTTGTCCTGCCATCTTCTAAGAGGCAGCAACTGTCTCATCTTAGGAAAATTAATCTCTTACTGAGCAGTTGCCAAAGCAGGACGTGGCTGAGAAGAAGCAAAGTGTTCTCTCACCATCGCAGGGCAAGGCCTGAGCTGGGAGAGGGGAGAAGGATGAGGCCACTGCAGCCCAGGTGGTGGTCAGTGGACCGGTCTCCTACTGGCTGATCAGATGGCGCTCCAGCATCTCATGAACACGGCCGGCACAGACCTCCCTGGAGACTCTCATGCAAATCACAGGGGCTCACTGACCCTCAGGGGGCACTAAGAGGCCAGGGGTCACCACCCCATCATCAGTAAGTGCCTCTCCATGGGCTGTGCTGGGGCAGGGGCTGAGCAACTGCAGGTGACGTCCACGCCCATCCTCAGGCTTGGGCCTGCGCTGTTCTTCCCTCCCTCCTCAGCCCCGGCACCTGTGCCAGCCAGCACTGCGAGTTCTCAGACAGCCCACCCTGCAGATGGGGCGGTTTTTCGCCTGGGCTTTCAGGCTTCCTCTTAACTGGCCCATGCCAATAAAATGGAAAACATCACCGGAACCAAACAAAATAGCTGCTCTCGCTCCTCAGGAATGACAAGGAGAAGTTGAGTCAGAGGAGGCATTCACACAACCTCGCCGACCCTCTCCCCTCCTGTTCCCCCGTCATTTCCAACTATTTTCTTCGTGGCTGCACCATTCACTGTTTTCTTCTATCTGAAACCAAATTACATGGAATACCGGAGGCCCCACAATTATGAAAATCTAAGCCAGCAAAATATATGGGTCTTTGTGAATTTTATTGTATTTTTTTCCTATTTTATTACTCTATAGTAATGTCTTTTTAAATTAATCTGCATTTTTAAATTAATCTGCAACATATGTTAGTATCTGAGCGTAATGGGAGAGTGAAAAAAATTAACCTGTATTAGGTACCAAGTGCATGGACAACACTCTAATAGCGTTTTTTCATGTGTTAGCTCATTTAATTCTCACAACCAAACTTAAAGGATGATATTATAAGTCTCATTGTACAGATGAACATGCAAAGGCCCAGAAAAGTTCAGTAGCTTGCCTAAGGTCACAAAGCTAAAAAGTAAAACACTGGGAACCAAATTCAGCAATCCCCTTTTCTTTCTTTCTGCCCGCCTCCCGCCCCTTTACAATATCAGGCTAAAGCAGTGCTATTGTAAGTTTGAGTCTTTCAGTCAGGGGCACTCTGTAACTCAACCACACTGGACCTTGGACCAGTCCTTGCATTCCTTAATCCCTCAATTTACACATCTATAAAACGAGAGGCCTAAGATGGTCTTCAGATGCCAAGATTTCATGATTCCAGCAAGCAGCCCCCACGGAATTTTAGACTAGACTTTCTTTCACCCCAAATCTTTCTACTTTTGACCCTTTTATTCACCCCAATTATCTCAGAGGGTTTCCTTGGCATAAAGGAAGCCATAATCTCAAAGACTGTGGGGGGTCCCATGAATCTGTCTGAGGATAAGCACGTTCCTCAAACAGCTGAACTCACGTGCGAAGGAAAAAAGCAGTTTTCAACTCAAAATGGGACTGAGATGGCCCAAACTACGACCTGGAGATCAAATGTCCAGGTCGCGGCCCTGGCTACCACTTGCACGTGGTCATCAGCCCAGCCCAACAGTCCCTCTGGAACATTTCCAATCCCCTCACCTCTCGGTCAGGCAGTAACCTGCTCACGTCTCTGATACTGCACATACCACACAGCAGAGTATGTCACATTAGCAAGCATGTCCAAGTCCGAAGGCACAGCCTGTCTCATTTATAGTTGTATTTCTGGCGCCTAATACCACATTTGGCTCACAAAACTACCCAACACACCCTGACTGAATGAGTGCACCCCTGCCTCGTGGCTCGCCACAGTCCACCATGCCTTGCTGAGGACTCTGCCCAGCAAAGTAGGCAAACTTCATTCCCAAGTCTGCAAATGAATTAGCTATCTGTCCACAGAGGTGGTAAGGAGAGCAGGGGCTTTTCGGCTCTCAAGACCTTATAAAAATATCTGCTTTGTCCTGCCTGCCAGCACCCATAGTATGAATCTCTCCCTTTGGCTTCACAGACCATGAGCTACGTGCCACCATCTGATGCGCAAGAAGCCAGCTGGTCAGCTGTTGGTTGCATTTGCCTGGACTGGGTGGCTGTGCTGCTTCAGCCCCTGGACTGAAGGACCCCAGGGATGGATGTTCCCAGGCATGCATGCAGCCTGTGGACTAAATCTCCAGAAGCTTCCTAGAAGTGACTGGCTGCCCTGCCTGGCGGGGCGAGTTGAATGTTCTTTGCCAGTTCCCACGTAGAAGCGCCCAGACTCTCCCCGCTCCAGCCCCAGAAGTGGACCCCCAGAGTGGAAGCTCTGGCAGGGACCCTGGCAGTGGAATTGGGGGAAGCAGCAGGGGAGGAGAAAAGAGGCTATTAGCAAATCAAAAGGGAAGAAAACAGGAAGGAAAGCAGGGTGGCAAATTAAAGGGCTGTGTTTTCTTTTTGAAAATCCAATTATAGAGAAATCTGCTTTTAAGTAAAAACAATCATGCCCTTGTTACGAAGTATTTCAGGGACCTTTAACATCAGGCAAAACCTTCTTAATCACATTTTTCTCTGTTACAAATTAGCTAATAGATACATCTTCCTAATTTCCCTTTCACTCTTCCACTTTTCACACCCACACAAACATGTGGGGTTACAACAATGCTCTTGTTGCAGCTTTGTCTCAGACAGACACGCTTTCAAGCATGCTGCCTTAGACTCTCTCCTTAGAATACCTGCAGACCCTCATTCTGAGACTCGAACACCCCCTCCCCTCCAGACCCTGTTCTCTCTCTCAGGCACGCACGCACACACACACTGACACACGCTGCACACACAACCGATCTGCACACAAACACTGACGCTGTCCTTCCGAGCCACCAGTGATCCAGTTGTCCCTCTGTCCTGATGTCCTGTCTGCCTCTCCAGACAGGTTCAACAGTGCAGCCCATGTGACACTCACCGCCGAAGCCTGTGGGAAACTTCATGAAGTGAGAATAATTTCCATACATGTTTACTCTTCAGTTCATGCTCCTCTCTCATGCGTCTTCTGAATATTCCGGCCTCTCCCAGCTCCTAGGCACAGCCCGGCTTTCTTCAACTTGGGCTAACAAGAGCGGTCATTGCTTCCTTGCAGTCCCGGGAGCACAGGCTGGGCCAGCCCTCTGGGATTAGTCAGGAATCTGCTGCCGGATCGGGGAGTCCACATAGTGCGTGGAGCCGGCGGTGCAGCAGCAGCTGGTGCCTGTCAGTAATCACGCATAATGCTGCCGCCGCCACCACTACTCTTGCCACTGCCGTCACTGCTGCCTGCTGCTTGAGATCCTGTTGCTACTTTGATTAACTCAGGGCTGAGCTGCTGCGTGCAACTCTTCCAGCTCCCAGCTGGTCCCCAGAGGTCCCTGCCAGGGTGGGGTGGCATGATCTATTATCTAGGAACCAATTGATGTCTGACTGCCCCAGTAGGTCAGGAGACAGGGAGGTGGCAGGAGATAGAAGACAATTTAGGTGCCTTTTCCTTGACTTGCACTCCCCCGAATCAATGAGGTTTTATTAAAATGCATTTTCGCACTCCAGCTCCTCCCTGTCCAATGCACTTGGTATTTGATCTGTGAAACAGGGTGGGTAGGGTAGGGGCCATGAGAGAACAGGGCCTTTGCATTAGCACAAAATTAGAAAGGCATGAGTTGATGGACAACTAAAATAAAGCAGGTTTGGGGGGCCCCTCCTGCTTTGGTGGCTGGGAGCGTTTGTCTGTGTTTTAACAATGGAAACTTGACAACAGCAGTTAGGAGCCAGAGCTCACTCACGGGGGAACGTACAGGTAGGAAAGAGGTGTCGCCTGGCTGATGTCTCACTGGAGGGATGCATTCACTGAGACACCATTGTCATATGGCCCCTGCTCCAAGACCAGCACTGGGTCCTCACTGACGCAGAGACTCCCTTGGGTGTAGCTAACCCAGGGACCAAAGAGCCTCAGCCCCCTTGACATCGGGATCTGTTGTACAGCTTTCCCAACAAGGCACTGCTTAGCCTATCCCTCAACACTTCCAGCAATGGGGAGCTGAGTACCATCTCATCCCATCTCTAGATATCTCTTATCATGCCTTTGTTTTAATTGAGCTGAAACATACCTCTTTCATTTACAGCTTCTGGTCCCGGGATCTACACTACTCCGTGGAGCCACACAAGAAAAGCCTGTGGGGTCTATCACAAGTGGGATCTGCAAATCCTGAGACAGATCTGCTGTGGCCACAGTCATACTTTCTCTGGCATTTCTGGCCCTTTCAGTCTGTCCATATATCAAATCTATTCACAGCCTATCCTGTTGCTAATAATGTACTCCAATTTACATACTCGCCTGATACGGAAAGGGGCAAGCCAGACTTGGATACAATACTCCACATATGGCCCGAGTCTTTTTCTCAAGGTGCATGTGTTAGCAGGGTGATGGGTGTGCTGTCAGCAGCTCCCTGGGGCCAGTTCATGGGATGAGCTCTGAGGGCTGCATCATTGCTGGTACAACACAGGATAGACCTAATCTGAGAAGTCAGCCAGCTAAGGTTCTGTAGAACAAAATCCATCTTTAATGCTAAAAGAACGCAGGACAAAAACTAGGGCTAAAAAGCAGAGGCAGGAACAGAGTCAGGCTGACAAAACAGAAGGCCAGGATGGGGACCTGAGCAAGAGGATGTCAGGAAGGAGGAAGAAAGATTCAGATCATTGCTGCAGGGCGCCCCGGGGAAACTGGAGCTCCCTCAGCTGGTTGCTGGGTCTCGAGCATTAGTATAGAGCTGGGTGGATTCAGCAAAGCAGAATCTTGGGGACCACTTGTCCACTCTCATCAGCAGCAACTGGGCAGCCCCACATTAATTCACGTAGAACTAACTTGATAAAGCCTCTTTGGCTCCTAAGTTATGTTCTTTTTTTTTTTTTTTTAGTTATGTTCTTTTTATGCACATTCTTCTTCCTGTTCTTGGGCAACTGGTTGGAGGCTTGCATGCAGTATCTGACTATATTCCCTCTGAAATGAAAACTTCTTGGATTCTTTCATCATCCCAGATTTTTTGGTATCCTGTTTCTATTATACAGTATATTTCTTACTCCTACCTCTAGTTCATGACTTCTGAAAATATGAGGAACTGCTTTCTGTATCTTATACACCTCATTGATAAAAATGTTGAAAAGGATATATCAAATACAACATCTTACATCATCTCACTTGAAAGTGCATTCTTTGATATCTTGTTTGTTACATGGCTTGGAAAGACTAGATATATAAAGTACCAACTCAGAAGCCAGTCTTGCTGGGCACAAATGCCATGGCTTATTTTGCTCACAGTTTGTAGAGGATCTTAGCATTGTACTATGAATCAATTTTATCATCACACACTCTAGATCTGGCCACTTCTGAAAAAACCCCACCTATGACTGCATGAGGCTTTGGGAAGACATCTAAACACAAGCTATAACATTACTCAAAGAATCATGCATGTCCCTTTATGCAAAAGGCATTTACTCTATCTCTAAGAGTTGTCAAAGTCTTAACAGTTTTAACATTGTTGAAAAGTCTAAAGTCTCCTCTGAGATTTAAGGCAAACTGTTGTCTGCAACCCCCTGTACAAATGAAAAGGAAGTTAAACACTTTCAACATTTAACAGCACAAGATAGACATTTCTATTTTAAAAGTTACAAACAGGGGAATAGCAAGGAATGGGAACAAAGCAAGACCAAAATCTAGCAGGGCAAACATTAAATCCTACAGTTCCACTTCTAGCATCCTCAGTAATCTTTGTCAAGTTGTGAACTCCAAAGGGCTTGGGTTGCTCTGCCCCTATGGAACTTCTGGTGGTTGTAGCTCTCATGGCTTTCTGGTGGGGTGGGGGGGGACTGGCTTTGTTCATTCCTTGTAGCTTTCTTAGGACCACCCATGTTCCTGACTTCTCTAACCTTTTGAGGTCTCCACTGCACCTTTGGCTTGACACTCACAGCTTCACACACTGGCTTCTCACAGCCACACTGCCTGGCCTCCCAGGCCTTCTTCTGAAATCTGGATGGAAGCCTTCCTGACTGCACAACTCTTACATTTTTCATGCACCTAAAACCAGCATCAGATGGATGAAGCCAAGGTCTGCGGCCAGCTGGAGCGGTTAGCCAGGCTTCCTTTTCTCTTGACTGTAGGGGTTCAGTGCCTACGAACTAAATCTTGAGGAACATTTTTAGGGCACTGCCATTCTGTGACATGGTGCTCTGGGGCTCTCTTCTCAAAGCACAGGCTTTCACTTTTGCAATATTGAGGCCACAAAGGGTAGAGTCCTGCTGGTTCCTGTTATGTCCTCAGGCCATCTTTTCCATTGTCCCATTCCTTCTCACCAATCAAGATCTCCTCTGCTCTATCTTTGCAGTCCACAGCTTTACTAGTGCTTCCTTTCTGGCCTAACTCAAAACATTTCAAACCATTCTGCTGGGCTCTTTGCTCTTGATTCTCAAGATAGATCTGGCTAAAAGCCCTCAATGGTGGCCATGCCACCACCTCAATATTACACTGCCTTGAAATTTCTTCTGCTGGATTAATTAGTCTGCCACCCTTAATCTCAGTGTTAGACAAAGTCTCTGGACACAAGAAAAATGTAGATAAACTTTCTGCTAAGGCATAACACACACTGTCTGGGGTCTAACAGCCTTTGCATTCTTTCTCAGCAGAAACCTCCTGAGCTTGGTCTTTACTAGCAGAATTTCTATCAACATTCTTGTCTTCTGAGCTCTGACCAGAATCTCCCATCAAGTACAGCCTCAGGCATTCAGATCTACTTTTTCAGCCAGCATCCCCAAAGCTTTTTTTTAGCTCTTCCCCTTCTCACAACCCAGCTCCAAAGTCTCCTAAACCACATGGTCAGGTACAGTTACAACAACAACCCCACTTCTGGTACCAAATTCTGTCATAGTTACTTTTCTGGCTGCTGAGACAAAATACCCCATACCAAAAGTTAAAGGAGAAAAGGTTTATTTAGCTCAGTTTGTAGAGGTTTCAGTCCATAATTGGCTGGCTCCAAGGCAGGGTGGTATCACAGAGGAAAAATAGTTCATGCCAGGCAGAGGGTGTCAAAGCAACAAAGGACAACCACAGCTCTTTCTCTTACATCTTATCTAGGGTACTTAGGGCAGGTAGCACTCACACCCTTAATTTTAGTGCCTTTGATCTTAGCACTGCACTAGGAATCAATTTTAGCATCACACACTCTAGATCCAGCCACCTCTGAAATAGCCCCACCTATGACCACATGAGGCTGTGGGGAGACATCTAAACACAAGTCATAACAGTAAGGTACATTATTTACTTCTTTTCCTCACAGAATAAAACCAAATTTCTTAACCCATGTTGGAAAGGCCTCACTATTGTGTCTCAATCTACCCTTTGAGCCCTATATGGAGGAAAGTGCTCTGGGACAGTGGTCCAAGGCACGGGGTCCTTACATCTCTGACACTCTGCAGCCATCTGACCTTGGGAAAGCTCAATGACTCTGGAAAACATGCCCATGCTGCCTACCTTACTGAGGTTTCTGGGCTTTGCTTTTGTTTTGTGGATTATGAATGATAAGAGCTGCATATGTGCTCAATTTTTTCACTGCAAAGTTCTGTACAGTTTCTTTGTAAAGTAAATCCAAAGAACAATGCTCCCTTGTTTTTCTTTCCTCCCTTTCTCTGATAGCTCCTTCTCATCTGGCTATTTCACCTGCTGTGGGAAGACTACATGTTCATTCCAACTTCTGGTTTGTCAGTCACATTCATTTACCTTTTTCTATTTGTCAAATTTGTACCTATCTTTCAAGTTTCAGCTCAGTTTCTACCATGACCATGTTTATCTACAAAGATCTCCCTCTATCCTACGACTGACAAAAGACATTGTCCAATGTGTTCAATTGATACTTTTCATTTATGACCTTGTGGCACCTCCAGTGCTGAAGAGCTAAATGGTTATTGTTCTTCCTTTGAATATGTCTTGTCTTCAGAACATGACAATTAACTCTCTAAAGATGACAACAGCGTATTCCGTGGGTCATATAAATGCTAATAGATATTTAATATTTGATATTTAGATATCTGTCAAATATTTTTGTATCAAAAATGCTTACCATACTTATGCCAAGAAAAAAAATATATATATATGCACCTCAGCATATTTTCCTTGTGATACTTTACATCCCAGAACAAACCAAACTTTGCCCAAAGTTTGTCACCATGAGTGATAAAAATTACAGTAAATGTTTAAATTTTTTTTCCAAAAACTTATTACCATAAAAGATACATTGCCAAGAATGATAGGGTAAGTGTGTTTGAAGCAGCAGGGAATATTTTGAGTATTTTGACGGGGATTAATAACAACTTAACTTTTACTGAAATACATTTTTAAAATTTAAACATTCACCATGTCTTTGGATCATATTTCATTGATTA